ACAGAACAATTTCGAATGGGCGAACAGCATTTAGGAGCCGCAACAACATAGCCGTGTTGCAGGTTGTGTGTTGCATGTGGCACACACACACATTGATAACAATTGCGAGCCCTGCTCGCACACAGGGCTCACGATATTTTTTTAGCTAACAAACTCGTCGGCAGCGACTAAGCGCCTGTGGGCAACATTTGGGTAAAAGGTTTCGATTCGATTAGAAACTGCAACAGGGCAGCAGCAAGCTGCAGCAGGCAACATGCCACACGCAGCAAGCAGAAAGCAGCGGCGAGCATCGAACAACAGGCAAAAGGCAGCCAGGCCAGGCAGTCAGTCGGTCGGGCTGGCATCCCATGCGAAAACCGGGTCGCCAAGCCCTTTGCTCTGCTCTCCCTGCCACTGGCACTGGACCATTCTGCACGGCTGACCGGAAGCGAGCATCAAGTCTGTCTTCTTTTTCATTCTGTGTGAGCTCTATTCCAGAGAGAAGTGTTGCATCTCTTTTTTTTCCTGCCTAAATTCGCGATCCCTTCTTGATTATTATATCAACATAAAAGTATTCCTATAGATCCCATGTTTAACAGATTTTACGTCAAACTTGATTTTATGAGCTCAGAAAGTTGTTTTCCCCTGTTAAAATGAAATCTTTACACAATACACACAAAGTTAAGTAACTAATACAAAGAATTATTTACAAAAAAAAAAAAAAAAAAGCTTAAAGACAAAACCGATCAAAAAGATGATCCAAACGCCGTCAAGCAAAGATGACGATGACCTTTCGTCGTATGATTCCCTTTTCGACAATGTTGAAACACAGCTTGTGCCATATCCGTTGCCGGAGCACACGGATCCCTCTCTATGTCGCGATGAATTTCTTAAAACCTTATCTGTAGAAGTCCAGCGCGTGAGCATACAAAGGCGACGAGTCCCAAAACTGGATACGATTCATTATGATTCAGCAACCGCTGAGGGGATCGCGATATTGGATATGCTGAAGAGGTCTTTAATGGCACCGCCCTCTGAATCCATATCACATTATCGACCATCCCTAACGTATGAGCAGTTGGAGAAGCTCTATACCGTTTGTCTCTACCAGTTCCAGAAGGCAGCCATACAATTCCTTTCCGTTAGACTAAGAAAGCAAATCGATACACAACTACATATTTGGCCTGGGGAGGCTGTCGAAATACCGCACAAACTGTTTAACTGGTCGCTGGAGTTCTTCCTACGTCGCCAAAGGGTCAATCAACTCTATTTGGATGTTTTGGTTATGGAAAGATCGAAGGCGGATTTGAATTGTGCCAAGTTCTGCACCGATCTCACTGAAATCATACGCCTTCTTGAATTAATAAGGGAAGACTTTAACAATGGTCGCGATATATGCAACACCTCGTCCATTATAAAGTGAGTCAGACTACCAACTATATGATCATCATGCTATGATCATACATCTTGAATCACTTCAGGTTCAATTATTTAATCCAATATTAAAGGCTACACAGGTCTCCAGGCTTAGCTTTCGATATTGGCTAACTAAATTAATATGTATTCATACATTTCTATTATTTAGCGATTCGAACTATGAGGTAAACTCAACTTGGGAAAGTGAATTAAACGATTTGCGCAAGGTCTACCACAATCTCGATTCAATTATCCGGGGTAGTGCATTTCGTATATCATCACAATGCGGTGTCGAATTGGAGGCCGAGGCCGATAAAACAGATGGCAAGTCGTGAGATCTTATAGATAATATCTGACCCGGGCCTGATCGAGTCTTTATTTTGCAGCTTTATCTCTGATTGAGATGCGCTATCGCAGCAATTGGCTGCGCAGCTGTGGTGATCAGGCTCAAATGTTGTTGCAGAAGAAGGAGAATCTCTATGCGGACGAGATTAAGGAGCTGCAATCAAAGATGGCGCTGGATGTCACCACATATGGATTTGTTGACTTTGTTTATCATTATTCAATAGATACGTATAGGTCGTCAATATCCGAATGGCAGGAACGTCTCGCCGTCGACTTAGAGGCCGCCGAACTGAAGTGCAATATAACGCGATCTCTTTGGATAAAGGCGAGAGATGATCTCAAATTCCACCAGGAGGAAGTGGAAATGTTTAGGCGTCGAGTAAGCGAGGTTAGGGAACTCATTGAATTAGAGCAAGCACCCATTTTACGTCGAGGTACCAGAGCCAGCTCTGTAAGTTTCTCTTATCGCCTTATAATTTTCTTTAAAATATAATTCAAATCGGGATTCCCCATTTCCTAGATGATCTCTAGAGCCAGAAAGAGTACATCGGTTGCAAATATTAAGAAGAAGAAAAAGAAATAATAAGCATTCAAATTATAAGTCGCCTAGCGCTGTTGGGGCTACAAATAGTCAAACAACAGCTATGTATTTAGGTTTGTTGGCAACCTAAACAAAGTAAAGTTGAAAATCATAAACGTGGAAGTGGAATAGAATCGAGTCCCTCACAAATATATATACATAAAAAAAAAAAAAAAAAAAAACAAGGGGGGACTTCTCATTGATTCCCATATCTAAATCAAAGTCAGGCTAAACAAACGAAATAACTTTTGCGTAAACATTTACTGAAATGCATTTGTCCAGGCTGCAAAAATTATGTATGTGCGTGCGTACACCCTGTATTCAATTAAGTATGGGTGAAGATAGTAAAAATGTGTTTAAAGTGAACTATATATAGACTTTAATCATAATCTAGCAGAGAATGCTTATACAGCTGAGATCTATTCATTGCCTGCATCGATCGTACTTCTAGAGTATATTCTAATCGGATACTCTTCAAATTACATTTATGCCATTCATTGCCCTAGTAACGCCCACGTGTTTGGCTGTCCGCCCCCACTGGAGGGGCATTTTATGTATCGTTATTTATGCGCCTGGCAACTGGTTGTAGCATAGCTTTTGCAACATGCGACTGTTGCCAGGTTGTTTGTTGTTTGTTGTTCGTATATTTACAGTTTGAAAATAGATAGAATAGTAGAATTTGTACACGGTTCAAGCGCAGCTACACGAAATCGGAGTTATTTATTTAAGCATATACATATTTGTTGTTTCGATATGCCAGCGAATCTGCGGCCCGACACAAATGGCAACACGGCCGAGGACTGGTATGCCTTTGAACTCCTATGCGGAAAGCTGTCGTCCTCAGCGTCATTGCCAATGTCGCCAGAAGCTCCCTTGGCAAACACTGCACGCTCCTCGGTTGCGGTAAGTTCTGGCGATATCTTTGCCTGACTTCAATGTGCCTCCAGTTGCCCGAAAATCATGTGACAAATCGCCATAATTCGGCAAATTTTATATTCCATAAGAATGTGTAATAAAAACATCTGAGTGATTCTTTTCATGTACATATATGCATATGTATATATCTGCATATCCATATGTGTTTCATGTAATTTCCTTTTGGCAAATTGAGCTTTCTATGCACATAATCAACGGGCAGCCTTATCAACGAGCAAAACTTTGCTGGTACCTATTTCTATACTCTGCATACAAAGTGAAAAGAGGTATATTCGTTTTACACAATGAACACTTTAACTTGACAGACAGAAACATTGATGAGTTACTGTCTCTATAGATGATGTTTTTTCAGACTAAGAAATCAAAAAATAAATCAAATTCCTTCTGTTTACTTTGGAATCTTTATACACTGAGTACAGGGTATTGAGTAGTCAGTCGCATCCATAATCTAGGTTCGTTATTTTTCTGGTGTGAAATTTATGCGGTTGTTAAGGCTCACAAACTTTTGCCATTGTTGTTTTTGTTCTTCCTTTTTTTTTTTTGTGAGTGAGCAACTATCGATGGCTCAAAGCGATTTGCATTATATTTGACTGCACAGTGGCTGAAAATCAACATTATTACTCACATAATTAGCACAAAAAATAAATTAGATAGATACCAAAATCTAAAAAAATATGTATTTAGAAAAGGAATGATTTGAATGATGAATTTGAAATATTTGTAATATTAAATAACATAAAGAACATGAACCCAAATTCAGATGCTCACTAAGTCTACATATATTTTAGATCTAAATAGTTCGTTAATCTCTACAACTATGCACATGCTAGCTAGCTTTTACTGATCGTAAGCATAGTCGGCATTTGCACACCTCAATTTCCGTTTCCGGTTGAATAATGAAAAAATTAAGCCAAACACTGTGCTCGAGGCGTCCTCTAGCCCGCCTCGAGGCAATCGCTTTCCATATCTTGCCTTGCGTGTGTACGTTGCTTTGGCTTGAATTGCATTTGCCATGTGAATGACCCAAATAACGGAAAACAAACTGAGAAAAGTTTGGAATGTGCAAACCTCATGCTTGCTGAGTTGGAGCTGCCCTAAACGCCTTGCAACTTCCCCATACAATGCCATTGAGCTCGTTTTCACTTATGTCGGCAGCCTGCCAACCCGTTCGTCCGACCCCCAAACCAGGCTGGAGCATAAATCACGAGAATTTTATATTGTTTGTGTGATGTTATGTTGAGGTAAATTCCCAGTTGTTAGGCTGTTGTCAATGGCCCACGGCTTGTAGGAAATACAGGAAGTCTAGCCACAGGGCTTAGTTCGCATCGAGGGCTTTCATTGAACGGTTCGTTGGGATACCTAAAAATAAAAGAAATAAAGGAAAGAAATCTGTTTGTGCTAATTTGTGCTAAATATGCCCAGTGATAATCATCTGCATCACCATCATCTGGGTCTCAGTGGTGGATTATCTCCGCATCATCATCATTTGGTACGGAAACAAATATTTTAGTGAATGACGGCCAAATTTTTCAATTGATGGAAGAAATTTTAAATCGACTTGGTATTTATTTTTTAATAGGAGCTTTTAGAATTAGTTCTTAATACCTATTTTTATTAAAGACTGTGAGCTAGAGAGCCAAGAAAATGTTTTTGAGAAACGATTGGTTGGGAGGAAAAAAATATTGTATAATCTAATATCTAGGAAATTAAGCGATTCATATTCCCATTGACTGTAGAAAGACATATGGACTTTCTTTCGCAGAAGTAGAGCGGCTAAGTTTTTAGCTTACGAGTTTTCTTATGGGTTTAAAAAAATGAATAAGCTAAATGAATAAGATTCGTATCCGCAATACGCGACATTTCTGATCAAGTCATAAACAAATATTTCTTTTCTGTTGTCGAACTGTATTAAGTCTAAGCTATATCCAAGTAACGCTGTCTGCTTTGCAGCTGGACAATTCTTGTGGAAATACAGGGATTACGGTGACAGAACATCATCATGGCATCGATTTGACGACGACTCTGCGCAGTGAACTGGCCGCCTTGTCGTACAAAAAGGAGCGTCTGACTGCTGAGGTGAGAACTGATATGGTGATAGGGAGCTGGGAGTGGCTCTAATAGTATCAACGGTTTCAGCTGGCTGAAGTGCGCAGCGCTTTGTGTGGCCGTGAATCGGATGTGGAGAATCTACGTGCGCAGGCGGCACGGCAGACGGCATTGATCGCATCCCTGCAGAGTCGACTGCAGGCGGCCGAGCAGCGGGAGCATGCGGTGCAGACGCGCTGCGATGCCACCATAGAGACGTTGCAGCGCGAGAAACGCTGTTCGGACGAGCGCAACAAGGAGCTGATCTGCAAGCTGCAGCACCTGGAGGCGCACGCTGCCAGCGAGGAGTCCCACAAGGAGCAGGCCAAGGCTCAGTATCACGAGCTGCTGCGTCGCCTGAGCGTCTGCCTGGGCCTCGACGAGAATGTCCATGCGTCGGCCGAGTGTGTTGTCTCCCGTGTGGAGGAGTTGGTGATCGAGTTGCAGCGTGCCAAGGCGAAGGTCACGTCCACCTGCGAAACCCTCAGCTCTTGCGAGAACGAGCTGCTTAATCTGAAGTCGTTGGCTAACATTGAGAAGCAGCGCCTGAGCGCTCAGCTGGACGGCGCCGGCAACCACAATCATGAGCTCGAGGGTCGGTGTCGCCAGTACGAGCGGGACTTGCAAATACAACGGGATCGTCTCACCGAATCGGAGATAAATGGTGAGAAGCTGAAGGAGGAGCTGCGTGGCTTCGAATCACGATGTCATCGGCTGCAAAATAACTTGGATCGCATCCAGGGCGATCGGCTGCAGTTTCTGCGGAATCTCAGTCATTTGGTAAATGTGCCCGAGCCCTGCGAGACTTTGATCAAAGATAAGCTGCGTGAGCTGCTCGGCGAGAATCAGGCTTTGCAGGCGGTGAGTTGGGATTACTTCAAAATTCTCTCTCTCTTTTGCTCTAATTTCTCTGTCTTCTTACACAGCAATTGCACTCGTTGCGCGATCAGCTGAGCAGCGAGCACGAGAAGCTGAAGGAGTCGCGTGAGTCCACGGAATGCCGTCTACGTTCGAGTGAGGCGGAAAAGTGTGAGCTGGCTGAGCGGCTGGATAAGTGCCATGCGGAAATACACACGCTGCGCAAGGATCACATGGCTCTGTCCGAGTACCTGCAGCGGCTGGCCAATGCGCTCAACTGGAGCGAATGTACGGCTCCACCTGCATTGGGTGCCGACACCAATCTTATGGCCGAGAGCCTGTTGGAGCGTGCAGAGCGTTTAGCTGCACACTGTGACCATGATTTGGACAAAAGCTGTTGCGATCATCATCATCAGCACCATCATCACCATCATGCCGGCCAGGGAAAGCTGAGACGCGAACGATCCTGTCACGATCTGCCGATCAAGGAGAGCAGCAGCGTTTACAATTTGCAGCGCCGCGTGCGCGTTTTGAGGGAGCAGGTGCAACGCCGAGATCTCCATCTGGAGCTGCTGCGTCGCAAGCTGGCCATCATTGAGGACGGGGCACGGGGCAAGTGTATGCTGCAAGGCGAACGAGATGACGCCGTTTGCCGTGCCAAAAAAGCGGCCAAGCAAGTGGATAAGCTGAGCGCTCAGCTCGCCGATGCACGCACCCAAATCGCCGAGGTTAAAGCGCAGCTGGCGGAGGCTGTGGAGTACAAGATCACAGCACTGGAGCGTGCTCGTAAGATTGATGAGCTGAGCACACAGATCTGTGATCTGGAGGATGAGAAGACTAGGCTGCTCTCGCAGCTGAACGCGATGAAGGAACGCATGAAATCCACCTGCGAATCCAATCAAAATCGACGCTGCCGTGACGAGGCGCTCATCAATGTGAGTTGGCTTTATTTAATGCTTAGTTATCCATTGGTAATGTTTATATTTTACTCTCTCGGGGTAGTCTCTGCGCGACGACGTTAGCCGTCTGAGTGCCCAGCTATCGGATACAAATCAACGCCTATCGCACTTGCAGTCATTCCGCACTTCGGTCGCTCGCACTTTACATTTGCGAGATCTGCCCGAAACGGATCTGCTGCATCGTTTGCAAGCGCTGTGCTCTGCCCACCAGGAGTTTACCCTGCTCTCTAAACGCTATGAGACTGCCTCGCCTGTTGGCGATCATCCTTGTCCGCGCTTCGATGATCCCGTGCCACCGTCCAGCCATTGCCGCCCACCGCGTGATCTCAGCCCGGAGAGCATGCATCGCCACACCACCGCGGGCAGTGGCCATCATCACGACCACGCCCATTCGCACGGACACACCCATTCAACCCTGCATGGTCGCCATCAGAGGCAACGCAGCAAGAGTCGCGATAAGCGTCTGCACGATGAGTGCTTTGACTCAGATGTGCATCGCTTGCATCACGGCTGCAAGGATCCGTTGTTGGGCAACAATTCGGGAGGCAGTTGTGACGAGGACTTTGACTTTAAGAGCAAGTATATTTAGTTTATTTTAATATGTTTGATCAAATTAAAATATTTGTAAAGAAAACTTTTTTATTAGCTTAGCCATACAATAAATACATAACTTTTTAATTTTCGAAGAATCCGCGTATTTATTGCATTATATTTAGGTGGTTCCCCTTTACAATTATTAAGCAGCTAATAGTGTGGTGTGTGTCTGTGCTATGTTGGCAAACATATTTGTTAGACACAAGTAAATTCTGCCAGTTACAAAACAACGTTTCTATATCTAAAACTTCATGTTCACAGCAGCTCAATTGAGATTTGTATACGAAACTCAACAGATGGCGCCACTTGCCTTTGTGATAAACACGGCGTTGCACGCAAGCAATATCTGCCCGCTATGAAACTCATATTAGCCAAGTTTCACACCACAGCATATGCAAACTAGGAAACTCATTTTCTTTGCCAATTTACGCAGTTGTCAAATGGGAAACAAATTAAAATGCGACATGCAACCAGTTTCTGGGGTTAATTTCAGTAGCGCTTTCAAATCTTCAATTAATCAAAAGTGCAACAAATTTGCATTTTTCATATGCATACAGTTTTGTGGTGCCAATCAAAATTAACCATTTTGGAGAGCGTTTAGCAAATGGGAAATGACGCGACACGTGAACGGAGAGCGGTAGACATTACCACCAGACGGCGGTGCAATGAACTTGACTCCCCGCCATGCGCTGTGGCATAAGATCCCGACCCGCTTGACTGGCTGCTGGCAGACAGCCAAAGGGCAAGGGGAATGCCAGATTCGTTGCACTCGGTCAGAACGCAGTCGCCGTTGCAGTCGCTATTGAAGAATGCTGGCAAAAAGCATGCTGCCGACTGCAGCCCCACTCTGTGGCAGTCCACATATGCTCGTTTTACTGATCTTGCCACATACACGCGTTGCATGGCCAGCCACACTTCCCGCAGACACCCCTACATAACAGGTTTGCTCTTTGATCTACGTCTCCTTTTCCAACTGCCAGCCGCCAAATGCGACTTATGATCTCTCGCACACACACATGGGTGTGTGCATAGGTATATATATATATATATGTGTGTGTGTGTGTGTGCACAACATGCGGAGATTCGCCCATTAGAGCTAAAGCCACTCAGGTGCGGCAAAATTCTTTGGGATAGCTAGCAAACGAGCTCCCGGCTCTTGCCTCTTGCCTGATCTTGTGTGAAATTAGTTTTCAGATTTGCAACAAACATGCATCAATTTAATTTAGCTACTGTCGGATTTTCAAAGTAATTCGAAATATGGTTTGGAAATAATAATAACAATAAATAAGAAATTTAAGAAAATTATTTGTAGCTATCCAAACAATTGAAATTTTTCAATTCAATCCAGTTTTCTCCCTTCATGGAAAAGTTAATGCATATGAAAATAAATACTTTGAAAAATATGGTAAACAATGTATGTATGCATATAAGCCATGTTATTACAAAAATTAGTTTTTTGAAAATATTTTTATAATATAATTTTCATTTTAATAATTTCAAATAGTTTTTATTACTTTTGACTAAGTAACACTTTTTAGCCGTTTATTTAATGCTAATTATAGTTACAGCATTCCTGTTCAATCAAGCAAGGTAAATAGTTTTTGATTTCAGCAAAACAGTTAATGAAATAGATTGAAACACAGCTTCGATTCATATGCAGAAGCTGCCGGATTTGCTGTTTGTGCAAATTGATAAACATTAATTTATAATTGGCATTTCGTGTCCGAATTGAGGTTGTACCTGTGTATATACACACACTGATATATATCCAGAGATATATAATAGCCATATACAAATATAGACACGTTCCATTTCGGTTGAACTAATTCCAATTCAAATGTTGACAATTTGAATGTTTCAAAATGTGTGTGTTCAGGCTTCAAAAGCAATATGTTTTTCACCTGCCCCTCTTCCACTCATTCGTCTCCACCTTTCGCCCGCTGTGTCACCTGTTTGTGAGATGTCCAGGTTGTGGACGCCATCACTTTCGGACGTGTCAAAACCATCAGTTGAGTGCGTGGCAACTAGGAAGTAGGCCAACCTACGTGGCAAATGGGATTCCCATAGAAATTGAAATGTGCGCATATATCGTGTGCATGTATGCATGCATGTCGTGTGATATAACTATTGAAAAGTCTTATAGCAGTTTCTTCTCATTGTTATACCCTGTAAATCCCTTGAGTTGCACCTGAGTGTTTAATTTATTTTGTCAAAGTTTTAAATTTTACATTTCAATAAATTAAATGAATTTGCGCATATTTTTCTCAGTTTTTTTTTCTATTTTTTTTCTTTTTAGCAATTTTGCAAAAAAGCAATTTGAAGCTGTGGCATAGGTATCTAAATTTTAGTTTTTATTTTGTAGCTTGAGGTTGCTTTGGACTTTGCACATATAAGGTCATGTGTGTGTGCGTGTTATTTACAGTACAAAACACGTGTTTGCCTAAGATGTCCTGAGAGCAAAAAACCAAAGCACACTCGTAGGCGCCTCACCTTGAAAGTGGAATTGTTGATATATTTCTCCGCTCAGCTCAGCTTTAGCAGATTTAATGGTTTTTCAAAGGCAGCACAAAGGCAGGCACAAACAGTATAATCTGGAATGCGTGTTCAGCGCCTGACTTGCATTTTGATTGCGAAAGATGCTGTTGACGATGTTGATGAGGCATGCGGCATACGGCATGCGGCATGTGGCATGAGCCATGCGTCTCTTTGGGTGTTTAAACAGCTTTAACATTTTGCTCGCAAATATTCAGTTAAACGAATCTGCACAGATTTACTTACGACATGCGACAAGGCACACACACAAACGCTACACAAACACCACTACACCATAGCACAGACACACTCCGACCACACACACCGCAAGCTTCCGCTTATTGTTTGCAACAACAATTAAGCCGCAGTTTTGCAGCAAGTCAACTAAAATCATCAAAATGTTTGCGGCTTTGTTGGCAGCACACCCGCACACCCACGCACAATTGGTAAATGCATGTGCCACATTATGTGGCAGCAACTGTAAACCAGACGCCAAAGCAGCAAGTTGAGTGCTGCAAATGAAAATAAATTTGATGCATTTGCAGATCATCGGCAAATACAAAGCAGAAATTTTGAGCTTCCCCATTTCGACTGAGCAACATTCTGTGGCATGTACGAAATGAATTTCAATGGGTGCAACAGCAGTGAAAAATTTACATTTATTTTTTGGTTGGGGCCAAATCCGCTTACAAAATCTCGATTAAAAGTTGAAATTCAAATATGGCTAAGAAGGGGCGAGCCATACAATGGCGAATATAATTGTAGTATGGGAAGGGTAAGGGGAGGCAGAGAGAGAGAGGGTGAGAGAGAAAGGGGGGACGAGGCCAATGCAAAGTGAGAGAGAGTGAACGATTAGCATTCTGTCCGTTTTTTGTATACATAAACACAAATATTTCATGTATTCAGTGCTATAGGCATTGATTATAATCATTCAAAGTTAATGAAAAATAAATCTAAAATATTTGCAATATTTGCGTGATACAAAACAATATTAAAAAAAAAAAAAAACATATTAAAACGAAAAAGCCTGATTATAGACTTGTTACGCCAACAACAAAAACTGTTACTGCTTGAATTTCATAGAGCCAACTTAAATCATTGAAACTTGATGCAATTTCGTTTACAAATTTGCAATTTGCATGTTTGCTGTAGAATTTTCAATCGGCATCAGTTGGCCAAAAGTTCTATTGTCAATGAAGTGGTTACTAAAATTGCAAAATGCAGGCAGAGAAAGATAGAGCAAAGAGGAGATTATAAATTCAAGAAATCATGAATTAGCACATGCTAGGAAATTTGTCTTTTACTTTGAATAAATTAGACACCAATTGCAAGTGCTGAAAGCTTTATAAGTTCTGAGAATGATTCTAAAATATTATTTGATAAATTTAATAACAACATTTTCCGCTTTTAATGTGTTGTTAATTTCCAATTTATTTACGAAAATATTTTCAATATTTATATAAGATATTTCGTCAATTGAAACGTTAAAGGAGATTTTCTAATAAATTGCAGCATTTCTGTTGCTTACAGACTTGTTTGATGTCTGGCCGCCAGCGCATTCGTTATTTAACTGCGTTGACATGAAATGTTGAAAATGTTGAAAACATTTAAATTGTTGAAATGGCCGCAACACGAAATATATGCGTAATAAATGTGCTGAATAATGGCATTAATAATGGCAATCTACATGAAACCAGCAACAGCAATAAAACGACCATAAAATGCAAGCACATTCATAATATTGAGCAGAGCCGCAGCCACTGGGGCTGACCGCACCTCAGCGCCAGTCTCATCCTCAGCTCGTCTGTCCCGTGGGTCGCTGCTGAGTGGCACTCGATGTGTCTTAATTAGCATAAACGCTTATTGCGGCCTGCATTGGTGGTACTTACACAGCAGGTGGCTCCCTCCCACCCGGACTATTAACCTCAGCCAAATGGCAATTGTAGCTGCATTCAACCAACCAACGAAGCAGCGACGGCAGCTGCAACATTCGGCGTTGCTGGTGTCAAATGATTTAAATACTTTTATTGCACTGGCGGCAGTCAATCAGCTGCAGCAGCATCAGCAGGAGAGGCAACGGTAATAACAAAGGCAGCAACAACGACATTAACAACAACAATGAATGCTGTAGAGAGCTTCAGTAGCATCAACAGCACTGTGAAGTTTTTTGTCACTTGATTTAAATACTTTTATTGCGTTGACTGCAGTCAATCAGCAGCAGCAGCAGCAGGAGAAGTAAGAGCGTAAGCAACAGCGACTCTGATAACAGCTGTAGTCGTAGCAACAGCAGCAGCAGCAGCAGCAGTAGTAGCAATAGTAACTACCATATCAACAACAACAGCAAAATGCAGCAACAATACCTGCAACAGTGGCAACATTTTTAGAGAAACGAATGAAGCCCCCACAGCAATGGCAACAGCAGCAGCATCAGCAGCAATTGCAACAGCAACAGCAATAGAAGCA